CAGTGTCCTCAACACAAGTGAAGAACTGACTAGAGGGGGTGCTATCAAGGAGAGAACTTAAAAGTTTACCCATGGACTAAAAAGATTACTCAGTGGTTAAAAGCACAAGCTGCTCTTCCAGAGGACCCTGGTTCAATTCCTAGCACCTATCTGTAACTCCAGCCTTAGGAAATTTGAAGCATTTTCTAACCTCCATGGGCACCAAGCATGCATATGGTGCATTGACATGCATGCAAGAAAAGACCCATATATGAATAAATAAGTTTAAATAAATAAATGTGCCTAAAACAAACATGATGCCTGGCCTGCAATCCCAGCACTTGGGGGAGGGGCATATCTTAGTCAGGGTTTCTATTACTGTGATGAAACACCCAGAGAGCAAGCTGAGGATGAAAAGGTTTATTTGGCTTATACTTCAGAATCACTGTTCATCACTGAAGGAAGTCAGCATAGGAACTCAAACAGGGAAGGAATCCAGAGGCAGGACCTGATGTAGAAGCCACGGAGGGGTGCTGCTCACTGGCTTGCTCATCACAGCTTGCTCAGCCTGCTTTCTTACAGAACCCAGGACCACCTGCTCCATGGTGGTACCACCCACAATGGGCTGAGTCCTCCCCCATCAATCACTAATTAAGAAAATGCCTTCAAGCTGGGCACAGTGGTGCCTGCCTGTAATCACGGCACTCAGGGAATCTAAAGCAGTTGGATTTCTGTGAGTTCCAGGCCAGCCTGGTCTACAAAATAAGTCCAGGGCAGCCAAGGCTACACTGAGAAACCCTGTCTCAAAACAAAACCCCACCGCCAACAAATTGCCTTACAGGGTTGTGTACAGCTGGATCTTTTAAAGGCATTTTCTCAGTTGAGGCTTCTTCCTCTCTGATGACTCTAGCTTGTAACATAAAACTAGCCAGCACAGGAAGGCAAGCGCGATGATCAGCCATGCTTGGCCTTGACAATGGAGTGACTTCAGCCCAGCCTGAGTTACAGGAAACTGGGGGTGGGGGGTGGAAAGGTAGATCAGAGGCCAACTGGAGGCCAGGGCAGGGGCAATGTTTGGCCATGTACTGTCCCTTCCAGCCTCCCGACAGGTCTAGCATCTATTTGCCAGCTTTTTTTCTCAAGAGGAGCCCCTGGCCATCTCATGTTGCCTGTTTTTGCTCCATCTTGCTCCAATAGCTTTAGTTTCCTCTTGTTTCCTTAGAAAACAGAATTTGTTTAGTTATTTTATGTGTATAGATACCCTAGGTTTACATACACACACACATATGCCCATGGGCCAGCTAGCCTGAAACACTGACTGAAGAAAACAAAACAAAACTTGCTGCCCTTGTCCCATGCAGTAGGAACAGCTAGAAAATATCATGGGAAGTACAGTCACAAAGATACTGAGTCAGGTTAGAATGGGTATAGTAGGAGCCAAGAGGACAATGAGAGCAAAAGGAAGTGACTGGAGGTGAGTCCTACTGAAAGTGGGGAAGTGAGGGAGATTCCAGAGCCAGCAAGACTGCTAGAGTAGAGGAAGTTGTAAGCAGAGAGCAGAAGAGAGTTCCATGGTCTCAAGGGAAAGGAGTCCCCACCTTGCCATGATAGAAAAGGAGATCTGATCTCAGCTAGTGGGAACACACACACACACACACACACACACACACACACACACACACACAAATGTCACCAGAATGTGCTTTAGATTTGTCCTGGATCCCAATCCTTGGTTTTACAAACTATCAATGGGGCAGGAGCCACTGAAAAAAAGAGCAAGAAGGGGTAGTGGTGCCCCGTTTGTGACCTTGCTCTCATCTTAGGAACATATGAAGAAAGTGGATAGAGATAACCCTTTTCATGTTGGTGAGGCAGTCAAGTTCTCATAAATAAAGCTACTAAAAGCACTTAACTGTGACTTAAAGTCTTAGCTTCCTTGAAATCTACTGAATTAGAAAAGCACTTGGCCAGTGAGCTAGATGGTTCAGTGAGTAAAGACACTTGCTGGGAAGCCTGAGGGTCTGAGTTTAATCCCTCGGACCTATGTGGTAGAAAAAAAAGAACCAACAATTGCAAGTTATCCACTGACCTTCACATGTTTTCTCCCTCTCTTTCTCTCTCTCTCTCTCTCTCTCTCTCTCTCTCTCTCTCTCCCTCCCTCCAGATATCCTGAGGCCTGGAATAATATACCAACGCACATGGTCAAGGCAGCACAGTGCCTTTATCTTTTGTCATGGGACAGGCTCCAGCTGCTCTGTTGCTCCCCTTCCTTCCCCTGAATTTGAGCCAGGATTGCTCTTGGTTATGGTGGATGAGGGGAAGAAGAAGGCATCCCAGTGAGTCAGGAAGAGGGAAGAGGAAGTTAACTGCTTCACCCGCCTACATCACATCTGCAGCCACTGACCACACAGGAGCATGGGGAAAAAAATGGTTAGAAACAGGGAGCTTGCCTTGCCAGTAGAATACACAAACCTGCTTTGTCCACTGGAAGGACAGAAAGTGTGTGTGTGTGTGTGTGTGTGTGTGCGCGCGCGCGCGCGCGCACGCATACATGCAACATAAAGAGAGAAGAGTTCGGAGAACAACTTGGAGGTACGTAGTTGGTTCTCTCCTTCCACCCTTTGGGTCCCAGGGGTTGAACTCGGGTTATCTGGTATAGCAGCAGGCATCTTTTTCCACTGAACCATTCACGAGCCCAGGACTAAGCAGGTTACTGGCAAGGCAAGCTCCCTGTCTCTAACCATTTTTCCCCATGCTCCTATGTGGTCAGTGGCTGTGGGATGTGATGTAGGTAGGTGAAGCCTTTAACTTCCTCTTCCCTCTTCCTGACTCACTGGGATACCTTGTTCTTCCCCTTGTCCACCATAACCAAGAGTGCTCCTGGCTCAAATTTAGGGGAAGGGAGGGGAGCAGCAGAGAGGCTGGAGCCTGTCCCAAATTGGCACTATAGGTTGGGTGCTGAGACCTTGTCTCAAAACTTTTTTTTAATTTTTATTTTTAAGGAGCAACTATGATACTTCCTTAAAAACTATGTTGCCAGGATACATGAAGTGGGGTTCAAAACTGATTATGTGAGAGATATCCTCAAAGACCACCAAGTTTTCTAGTGTCTGACTACCTACCTAATCACAGGTACTCGGTGGACTGAGGCAGAAGTATTGAAAGGCCAGTCTGGACAACCTAGTGAAACTAATTTCAAAGTTAGATTGCGGGGGAGGGGGGCAGCTGGGATGCAGCTCAGTTGGCATAGTGCTTGCCAGAGTTCAATCCCTGGCCCAGAACAAAACCAGGCCTGCAGTCCCAATTGGAGGTGAAGGCAGGAGGGTAAAATTAAAGTGGTTAGCCACCTAGCAAGTTTGATGCCAGCCTGGAACACATAAGACCCTGTCTTAAAAAACAAAAGTGGGGAAGGACCCTGAAGAGATGGTTCAGTGGTTAAAACAGGCTGCTCTTCCATAGGACCCAAGCTTGGTTCCCATCACCATTAGGTGACTCAAACCTGCCTGTAACTCCAGCTCCTAGAAGTCCAACACTTCTAGCCTCAGAAGCACATACTCACAGACAAACATAAAATAAAAAAAATTACATCTTAAATTTTTTATGTATATGAGTGTTTTGTTTGCATGTACAGCTGCACCACATAAGAGCTGAAGCCAGAAGAGGGCATCAGTGGCTCTGGGACTGGAGGTACTGAGGAGGTTTGCGCAGTACTGAGGTACTGTGCTCTCAACTCCTGAGCCACCTCTCCAGCCACCAAAATAAAAATTTTAAAATATATATTCTTGAGCCGGGTGCAGTGGCACATGCCTGTAATCCCAGCACTCTGGGAGGGAGAGGCAGACAGATCTCTGAGTTCGAGGCCAGCCTGGTCTACAAAGTGAGTTCAGGACAGCTAAGGCCATATAAAGAAACCCTGTCTCAGAAAACACTCTCTCACACACACATATTCTTGAGTTTGGATTTGGAGTGGACCACCACTGAAAATTCACCTTCCCCCCCTAAGCAACAGACATGCAAAGGAGACGTGGGAAGGAAAGAAGAGGTCTGGCCAAGATGGGTGGTTTTCTGGCCTCTACTGTCCTCTGTGCAGTGTTTCTATTGTAGTAAAGAGGAACTGAGACTTCTACAACGCCCTTTACTGTTTTAATAGTCTAGTCACAAAGGGTCAGCTTAGAAATGTGAACAGGAAGTGAGTCCACTCCTACCTCTGAAGAAGTCCAAAGACAGAAATGGGCATCTTGCCTGTGGCTTTTCCCACCCCCTAGAATGGACTTCCAGAGAAGTTTCTGTTTCGATTTTTCTTTGTTTTGTCATTGTTATACCATTTAATGGAATGATTTTTAATAGTCCCAAGGTATTTCAATAACCAGGAAATTCCAAAGGTCAGAAATGTAGCTCACGGATAGATTGCTTGTCTATCTCTGGGTTCTGTCCCCAGCTACGGGTGAGACACCCCAGGGCACCTGGTAGAGTTGCCCCTGTCTCTGCTCAGGCCTCTTCCCACCTACTGCACCCACCGAAAGCTGCCCAGGTTCAACTTGGGTCAAGAGGCAAGAAGTGAGGTAGCAGCTGTAGAAGTGACATCTATGACACAGGAGAGGACACAGAATAAAGCAAGTGAAACAGGAAAAAAAATCCGCCATGTGACCTTGACAAGCTTAGACCCTCCGTGAGGCCGGAACCAGACACAAAGCAGTCCACGCTCTTGACAGCCTGGCAAAATGAAGCTCAGCGGCCTTAGCCGTTGGGTCCCAGGCCCCTGCAGGCACAGGTGCCTGCTCCGGCCGCCCGCTGTGGGCCCTGCCCTTGGAGCGGGTTTCCCCGGCAGAACCCGGGGCCTCAGGGCGCACGCGGATGGGCGCGCCCCAGAGCCCGACCGCATCCAGCATCCGAGGCGTGCGGTCGTCCCATTGGACAGCACAGCCCTGCAGGGCCTCCCTACAGCCAATCGAAGCCCTAGGGCGGAGCTTTGCTTGCGCTTGGGGCTCCGGCGGATGCTTCAGTGCTGCGGTGGAGTCCAGCTGTACCCGCTGACCGCACCGGCCATGCAGCAGCCTCTGCTAGGAGCCGAGGGTCCGGACTATGACACCTTTCCCGAGGCGCCCCCATCGCCGGGAGAGAGGACGCGGGCCGGGTGAGAGTCGCAGGGCGTGGGGTTGGGAGGCTGGGAAGGCCCTACCTCCAAGCAGGTTGGAGATCTTGGGCCACAACTGACTTCTGGTGAGTGGCCACCAAGAGTCATCTGACTCTTACCGCATGCTCACAAGTCCTATTTAAAGGGTTAGTCCACCATAGAGAAGAGAGCCTCCAAAGGAATACTGGGTGGGGTCCCCACCTGTCACAGATAGAGGCCAACCTGAAGAGGAGGAGGGTCTTGCCTAAGATTACAGAGCAAGCTTTGATCATCACAGCAGGAGGCAGGACCCCACCCCTAGCTGACACCGTGGGGATTTCCCAGAGCTTGCTGCTCAGGCCTCAAGGAGTTAACAACTTGACTGGCCCTGGACCCATGCTTCTCTCCCTGTTATCTGCTGAGCTGGATGGCCACGGGACTCAGGGAAGGCAGCAGTCTGGGTACCCAGGGTCCATTTAGAAGACTTGACCCTGGTCCTTTGGTTCCACCCCATCCCCCACCAGGGCCTTGCAAAACAGAAGGGTGTTCCTGGCCACCTTTGCTGCTGTGCTGGGCAATTTCAGCTTTGGGTATGCCCTGGTCTACACATCCCCTGTCATCCCTGTGCTGAAGCAATCTTCTGACCCAGCACTACATCTGAACAAAATCCAGGCATCATGGTTTGGGGTGAGGCCTGTTCTCTAAGTCAGATGGGGTAGTGGGAGGGGAGCATGGACTCACTCAGACTGTTTACCACAGAGAACTAAGATCACCTAGCCTTGGAACCTCCCCTAGAGCTCCCTCACACACTCCTGTCTGCTAGTGGTGATGACAAGACCCATGAGGAAGAGACATCCTACAGAGTTGTGGGGAACAGCTGATGTGAATATTAACCTATCCTATACCCAAAGCCAGGCTGACATCCTCTGGGTGCCTGGAGGCTGTGTAGCTTTAGAATGTCAGCAGACCCTGAGTTAGACTGCAACTTGACAACCGAGCTAGAAAGAGGTTGGGTTTCCTGAGCGTTTCAAGTGGGGTGGGCATATGCAGGGCACATGTAGCATGTACTGAGCACACGCTAGACACTCTGTGAGACATTTTCACTCCTGGGGGTCAACCGTGTTCTCCCCATAACACGGCTATGAAACTGAGGCTTATACAGGCCACACTCTGTGTCCTGATCCCCTGTTCATGAGTAGCAGAGTCCAGGGAAATCCCTTATTCTACAGCAACTCCAATGACCCCAAAATCTTAAGGTCTCAGGACTTCAAGTCACAGGGTTCTCTTGGGTAGAGTGGGTGCCATGGAAAATGCCTTTAATCTTAGCACTTAGGAGGCTGAAGTAGGATATTCAAGTTTTTGAGGCCTCCTTGGGCTAAAAAAAAAAAAAAAAAAAAAAAAAAAAAAAAAAAAAAAAACCACGGGATACTGCTGGACAGAGCCACTGTGGACAGGTGGCCCTACTGCACCTCTAGAGCAGAATAGTAGTCATGGCACCCTTAACATATAGTTGTCCACAGGGGGCTGTGCACCTCTACTGACAGGGAGTTCTCTGCCAACGAATGCCTGGTGCCTGGAGCAGCTCTGGGGAATTAGCTCTAGGCTTTAATGGGTGTGAGAGCACTTAAAGCTGTTACGTCTTCTTGCACCCCTGCAGTCCGTGTTCACCTTGGGTGCTGCAGCCGGGGGCCTCAGTGCTATGTTACTCAATGACCTCCTGGGCCGGAAGCTCAGCATCATGTTCTCAGCTGTCCCCTCAGCCATTGGCTATGCACTCATGGCCGGTGCCCATGGCCTCTGGATGCTCCTGTTGGGGAGGATGTTGACAGGCTTTGCTGGAGGACTCACTGCTGCCTGCATCCCGGTAAGGCCAGATGTCTCCAAGGCCTCAGGGCTCTTCTGGGCCACCCCTACCTTGCCCAGGAAACCTCAGCTCCCTCCACCAAAGCAGCTGACATCATTGTCACCAAAAACTTCCAACCCTGTGCTTTGACTTCTGTTCAGTGCATTGCTCAACTGAAGAAAATCTGTATTGAGCAAGGGATGTGAAAGGAAGTTCCTGTCTTCCACCCCCACCCCTGCCCCAACTGCTTACCTCATGCAGTACCCCATACACACACCTATTCTCTGGCCAAGCCCAGAGGGAAAAGGGGGTCACTAGGAGAAATACAGGCACTCTGCCAGCCCCAAGTCTGAATACCCTAGGCTTGGTTGAGTTCCCCCAATCCATATCCATCAGAGCTGAGTACTTCTGCATATGTCTCTGCTAGGGAAGGGAAGGTCAGAGGCATGGTCAGCATAAGACTCCTCATCCCCTCTCCAGGCTCCCAGGTCCCTCTCTCACCCCAGTGGGCCCAAGAACATGCATTCCCACTAAAGTCGCAGGTTGGGGCATGTACCTTGCAGGTGTACGTGTCTGAGATTGCACCCCCTGGTGTTCGTGGGGCCCTGGGGGCCACACCGCAGCTCATGGCCGTGTTTGGATCCCTGTCTCTCTATGCCCTCGGCAAGTATCATCCTGTACTTCAGCATTCAGGTTCTGGAGATGGGGGGAATGGAACTTTCCCTTAAGGAAGCCAGCACTGACCAGCAAGACACCTGGCTTCCTAGACCCCACGGGAACCACCTCTCTGAGGCCTGTCCTACTGCAGTAGCCTCAGACTGCCCTCCCACAGCTCAGGGATGTCTTGTATCCTGTCAGTTTATGAGGGAAGCCTATCCAGGAGTTTGCCTGCCTGGGCGATGGGGGTGAGAGCCCCAGGCTCAGCCTTCCCAATACTCTCCCAATATACTGAGACCATTTAAGGATCTCACCGTAGCACCAGGATCCAGACATTCCTCGCAGCCCCTCATTGCCTCTACTACAGAGACTTGGGCAATCAGGGAAAGCTAGGCTGGGAGAGTAATGAGGTTACTCAGAGGCCCCAGCCCCTCACTGAAGCCTCTCTCACCCAGGTCTTCTGCTGCCTTGGCGATGGCTTGCTGTGGCCGGGGAGGGGCCTGTGCTCGTCATGATCCTGCTGCTTAGCTTCATGCCCAACTCACCTCGCTTCCTGCTCTCAAAGGGCCGCGATGAGGAAGCCCTGCAGGCCTTGACCTGGCTGCGAGCTGACTCTGAGGTCCATTGGGAGTTTGAACAGATCCAGGACAACGTGCGGAGACAGGTGCAGCATGGGTGGGACTGGCTGAGCGTGCTCTGTATGGCCTTGAACATTCACTAGGCCTCTTTGGTCCTTGGTTGCCTTTCCTCAAACAAGAGTGGTGTTAGTATGCAGAGCCCATGCATTCTCTGTTGGCCCAGCCTCTCCTGGAAGAGAGGAGGTCTCCCCTAGCCCCACAGGTGCCAAGACAGGGTGGCCAGGGCTGGAGAGCCTGGCACAGCCCCTCAGCAGCAGCTTTGTGTTCCAGAGTAGCCGAGTGTCATGGGCAGAGGCCCGGGACCCCCGTGTGTACCGGCCTATTCTCATCGCAGTCCTGATGCGCTTTCTGCAGCAGCTGACAGGCATCACACCCATCCTCGTATACCTACAGACCATCTTCGACAGCACGTCCGTGGTGCTGGTGAGAACCCACTTGGCCAGCACTGCCCAGAGTCCTGAGGCTGCTGGGGAGAATACAGGCAGGGCAGCCAGAAAGTTAGGTGGCTGAGAGCTACACAGCGCTGATTCACACCCTGCCTCGATTACATTTTTCTCAAGTGAAACTTAAGTGTTTTTAAAAAACATACAGAAAAACAAGGGAAAAAAATTTAACAGAATATGGAACTCTTGGGACCATGGCCCCAGGCTCAGATCCCAGGGGGGACCTGTGAGGTCTCTAGGAGCCCAATTCCACCCCAGGTTCTTCCTGCAATGAGGTTTGGAGATGAGAATGACTCAGGTCTACCATTATTGTCTAACCAGAGTCTGTGCCCAGTAGGACTAGGAGTCGGCATAGTAGATATGCCCCTGCTGGGAAACCCCACAGTAAGGGTGGGATGCAGAGAAAGTACGTAGGGCTCAGTACTTATCATGGCTCATGGCAAAAAAGGATAGTGACCCTGGACTTAGGGCTGAGTGCCCTGAAGTACATTAGTTCAGGGTAGGACACAGAACATGGAACCAGGTCTCTCAGCCCAGTGTCCTGCCCTACAGCCCTCCCAGGAGGATGCAGCCATAGTTGGTGCTGTGAGGCTCCTGTCTGTGCTGATCGCTGCTGTCACCATGGACCTGGCTGGCCGTAAGGTCCTGCTGTATGTGTCAGGTGAGTGCTCCCAGTTTGATGTGTGCCTCTTCTCCTACAGCCACTGTATTAACAATTTCTGGGCCATACTCAAGCCTCTCTAGCACATGGTCCAGGACATAGCAAATGGCAGCTGTACAGACAAAAGCAAAGGAGCCCACCCACCCAGCTTAGAGGTGTGGCACGAGCCCCTGAGCTTGCTATTCTGTGTTGTGGGGAGGGGGTGGTTGCCCTTTCACAAGGTAGCCTTGCCACCCAGAAAGAGGTGCTATGGGACCTGGAAAGGACCTCAAGCTTGAGGTGCCCATGTGTCCACAGCATCCATCATGTTTGTTGCCAACCTGACGCTGGGACTGTATGCCCAATTTGGCCCGAAGCCTCTGACCCCCAACAGCACTGTGAGCCTGGAGATTGTGACCCTGGAGGCTACAGAACAGCCCACAGCCACAGCCTTCAATTATCTCACTCTGATACCCCTGCTGGCCACCATGCTCTTCATTATGGGTAGGAGGACCCTGGCAGTGGGGACAGTGCTGGGGTGGGCTGTTGGGAGCTGGGGAGGGGGGGCAGGAACACAAGGGTTTTGCTACTGTCCTGGTTTGCCTAAGGAGTCAGGAAACCATAGAATAGGGCCTTTTTGCAACCCAGGAAACATAGGCAAGACTGCCTGAAGGTTCCCAGGGCCTGAGCCCAACTGCTCCCCTCTTCTGGACAGGCTATGCCATGGGCTGGGGGCCCATCACCTGGCTCCTCATGTCTGAGGTTCTGCCCCTGCGTGCCCGTGGTATGGCCTCAGGGCTCTGCGTGCTGGTCAGCTGGCTTACAGCCTTCATCCTCACTAAGTACTTCCTGCTGGCAGTGGTGAGTGTCTGACTCCAGGACTCCCAGCAAAGTTCCTCCACTAGCATTCTCCCTTCAGCAACCCAGAGAGAGGGGCACCAGCCTTTTATGGGCTAAGAATGGCCAAGTGATAACACAACCAAGGCTATTATAAGAAACAAGAACACTGGGTGGGGGTGGGGTTTGGAGGAATCAGATTACCCCTCAGGCCCAGAATACAGCCCAGAGCTCTGCCCATATTACCCCTTTTACCTGCTTTGTTCCTTAACCTACTAGATGCTAGGCCTCTCTAGTATAACCCTTGGTGTGAAGTCCTTCCTAAGCATAGCTCCCAGCCCTGCAACCCAGCAGGCCCTGAAAACACCTGAATGCTGGCCAGCTCCACACTACCAGGGAAATCCAGCTAGGTCAATATAAGGCAGAGCCTGCTCTGCCCATTCAGTGGTCAAGGTTGAGAGGAGGGTTGACACAACCTGCTGCCTACCAGACCCTGGAGGCAGCCCGGAGCTTGGGTGTGGAGGGGTACCTAAGAGTGGAGTCTCCAACAGGATGGCTGAGGAGCAGCTTGGGAATAGTAGGGAAGGCTGGGAGGTTTCAGAGCAGAGCCAGAGGAAGGCCCCACAACTCTAATACTAGCTGAACCCATGAAATTATGGCTGAGGGTTGTGTCTGCTCAGTGACTCCTTCCCCAACTCCCTACTGCAGAATGCCTTCGGCCTCCAGGTGCCTTTCTTCTTCTTCTCGGCCATCTGCCTGCTCAGCCTGCTCTTCACAGGTTGCTGTGTGCCTGAGACCAAGGGCCGCTCGCTGGAGCAGATTGAGGCCTTCTTCCATACCCAAAGGATGTCCTTCAGGCCCTAGTCAAGGGCTTGCCTGTAAGGGGCCAAACCACCCGAGCTGCCTATGCACTGGCCGCAGATTCACACCTGCAACAGGAGCAGCAGCGTCCCTGCCATCAGCCAGAGCACAAGACCAGCCAGAGCACACTTCTGTTCACCAACTGTGGGCTGGTGGGCCCCAGCAGACAACCTGCTGTAATACCTCAGCTGAGACCCGCAGGGGAGGAGGCAGGCCAGCCCCAAGCTGTGCCCATGAAAAGGTTGTTGGGACCTCGGGCCTAGTTCCTCCTATATGCAGGGCCATGATGAAGACAGAAGACAGGAATGGAGGTGGCAAAGTAATTCTGTATAGGGACTTTGTCATACTCTGTTCTGATCAATCGGCTATAACGAGGACAGGGTCCTGTGCCCATAAGGGTCTTGGGAACACCAGACTTGCAAAAGCCAGAGCATAGGACCCAGGCCAACCTTGGATACCTCTAGTTTGCAAACTGTTCACTGTTTTTAAAAATAAAGTAGTGGGGCCTGAAGCCTCAGGGAAGAAAGGGGAGTGGGATCTACTCCAGAGAGAAGCTCCCTACCCCAGGAGCCAGGCTACCCCAAACCTGGCCCAGACTGCCAGGGCACTCTGGATGTTACAACAGTGCAGAGAAAACAGTCGCTACTGTGGGGCTGAGTGCCAGCTCCCCCTCTATGGATAGGCTCTTTTCTTCAAGACCCTGTGAGCAGGCTCAGGCCAGGCTAGGCCCAGCTGGCATAGACAGGGTCTCTCTGCAGTTACAGGCACTGAAGACAGATAAACTTCGCATGCCAACTACAACCTTGCTTTACTCCAAGGGTAACTCAACCAACAAACAAACCAGGGTGGTGGCAAAGAGAGCCACAGAAGACACCCAGACACAGACAAGAATGGGGCTGGTCAGTGCCCATTCTCAGAGGCAAAGCAATGGGCTCCAAAGCCATTGTGCCACAGACCTGCCAAGAACCTCAGGACATAAGTGACCACCCTACACTGGTCTATATCTGAGGGCCTCTACCTTTACACCCCACCCTAGCCTGCCTAGCACAAAATGGACTTCCCTAGTAGGATACAATCTTACTATACATGTAGCCATTGAGTTCCATTGCCAGGGGCAGGAGGCCTGAACAGAGTGACTTGAGTCTCCTGCTTACACAAGTAACCAGAGGAGCAGGTGGGGCCTTTACTCCTCCTAGGAGGTAGACAGGTCTTACTGTGAACACAGGCCCTGACACACACAATCACACACAGCCCTTGAAGCCCACCCCTGGCTTGAGAAAAACAGCCTCTGATAAACTGTGACACCTCTGACACCTGTCCCACCAAGCCAGCTACACTATGACATTGGTTCAGCATGGCCAAGCTCTCTGGAGAACTGCTGCTATCCCCAAGGCCCATAGATCAAAGAGCCTCTATCCCAGAATGCCCACTACTCCTTATATGAAACACTGATGAGCTAAAGATCCCCTAGAAATGTGACAACTTCAGGCCTGAGTTCCATAGAGCAGGCCCAGCTGAAGGTCTAGCAGAGGAGGGAGGCAGGGCTCAGAATTCTCCCTATCATCTTCAGCCAGGCCACCAAATATGTGCCTAATGGCCCATTTAACCAGCCACTAGTGCCAATGTCACCGGACAGTAGGAAAAGATAGCAGTGAACAGGAAGGATAGGGTACAGCCAGGGCATGTCCCTGGAGCTCTCTTCCATCACAGTAGCTCTCCATGCCCTAGCCATGCAGGTATACTCTCTATGGTCTGGTACCTGAGAAGGGGCCAGCTCTGTATGAGAGGTAGCCCTAGCTCTGCCCAGCTTTGCAAAGGCTGCCAGGGGCAGGTTGGGAGGAATACCTGAGGTCAATCCCTACTAATAGGGAGCCTGCCAACCCTGACAAGGAGGGTCTCTGTGCAGGCTAGCAGAAGTACACATCCCCAACACCCAACACCCAACACCACACACACACACACACTTCCTAGCACTGGGACCACGGAACATCCATCCAGCCCTCTGGCTACTGCCAAGGCTGTTCTTCTGGCCAGGAAGCTGCATCCTGGGAGTGCCATGGATTCTTAAAAGACCAAGCATCTCTCCTCCTGTTGGCAGTAGCTGCCCTCAGGACACTGTTGTACTCATCCTCTGCTCTGAGGATAGGTGCATGGAACAGAACTGTAGTCCCAACTGCCACTTGGACCTAAAAAGGATAAAACCTGAAATGGCAGGAGCCTGGATGATCAGCCTCTTAATCAAGTGTGGGCCACTGTGTTCAAGGGAGGCTGTTCTTAGGTCTGGGAAGGGTCACCAGCACAGAAATCTGCACCATAGGCTGACGGGAGTGAGTTCATCCCATTCATATCCTATGACCCAGGCCTTCAGTACTAGTGGGGCAGGAGCTCCAGGTTTAGTAGGTCCAGAGAACAAGGTAGGCACAGGAAGACTCGAGGCATGGAGACTTGCAGGGACTCCTCTCCCAGGCCATTTCACAGAGTTGATACTCAGCCTTTTGCAGAATTAACACAGAACCCAATGGCGGTAGGCAATGAGGATAGGCGGCTGTGCCTCACCTCACAGCTCTCCCTCCAGAGTCTCAGCCAGCTTCTCCTCGTCTGCCTGCTGCCTCTGCTGCTGGATCCGAGCATAAGAAATGGCATCACCCCTGGAGAGAGAAAAGGAGGTGTTCCATAGGCACAGTCCTTTCACCACCAACTCCCAGGCTGAAACCCAGGTGTGGCGTGCAGTCAGATTCCCCCAGGACTGTGCTCCCCAAAGGCCACTGTCAAAGGGGCAGAGGCCTTGATACTCTGAGAAGGACACGTGTTGCCTGGCACTGACTGAGCTAGGGAAGAGATGGCAGCTGTCTGCAATGTCTGGTGCCATACCTCACTGTGTACAACCCAAGCAAGAGGGATCACCTAGGTTGTCCCTCATTGCTTGCCTCTCTTCCTGAGATTATGAATAAGTCACTTGTGGCCACTACGTAACAACTAGACAAAGGGCCCCACTTAGACCTTCCCCACATGAGATGAGGTAGCAGGGGCAGCAGAAGAGGCCCCACCCTGGGACTGAAATGCAGACGCACTTTTTGCCCAGGGCAGACAGTCCGTACAGCACCCCGGTGGCAAAGGCGATGGCGTTGCCCAGCAGTGTGGTCAGGGTCAGGCTCATGACGATGGGGACGATGGCCATCCTAGGAGAAAACAGAGGTCAAAGGTGCATCCCACCCCATGCTGCCCCTGTGTTCTCCTCAAACATCCCTAAAAATCCCATCTGTTCCGGGGACAGAGTCCAAAGCCATATCAGGTCTTTGTGGCAAAATCTGTGAGCCACACAGGGTTAAGTAGCAAAGATCTGGGTAAATGTCCCCATTATCCATGAAAACGGTGAGGCTAGACCCAGAGTGTCTGGGGTATAGTCCATCTGTGACCAAGTTAGCCTCTTAAGGCTCTACTCCACTGTACAGTGGGGTCGAACCTGACATCAAGGTGAGGGCTGCTGGCCACTTATCTCACACCCACATCACAAGCACTGAGTGAACACTCATCAGTACAGCCACCCTGGGCCAGCTGTGTTTCAACAAGCAGAGTGTGGGCCATCTCACACTCTGGGGAACACTGGACCCAGACGGGTATGGGGCTTCAGTGGCAGCCTTGCGCCACCTGGTGGTGGGTCCATTCAGCCCTAAGAACTTCGAAAGCTCAATCTTGAGGGATGGGATTTTCCAACATGAGGTGAATCCCAGAAATGCTGACCCAGGAAGATACTGGAGCCTGTAGCCCAGACCTCAGTCCAGTCACTTCTGGAAAGGAGGCTCACCAGGCAGCCGGATGATACTCAAAGCCAACTGTACTCCTTGGACTTCCGATGTAGATGTCACTGAGGCAGAAGTGCTTCAAAGTGCGGAGGGTCCTTGACTTAGACGGTTGTGCTTGCGGCACTCAGCAGACACTGACTAGAGTGCTGAGCCCCAAGCTTTATGGGCCACCTTCTAAGATATCATCCCAAGTCACAATACCTAGGATCAGGGCTTTAAGCATGGTGAAGGTTGGCGGCAGATGTGTTTGGTAGGTGAGGTATGCTACCATGTTTTCAACAGAATATTGGTCTTACCAAAATGGAAACCTGCCATAAGTTGAGGATCCTTTATAATAAAATAATAGAAATCGCAAGAGAAAAGACCACAGCAGGAAAAACATTAACATTAAAGGCAAATGACAGGGTGGAAAAATCAGAATGGAAAACGTAACAAAGAAATCTGAGGTCTTTAATACTGAAAACACACAGCCTGCAAAGTCAAAAATTAAGGCGCTCAAAAGAGTGGACCAGAAACCTTTTAAGAAATAAAATGAATGTGAATACACAGGAGCATATATTACTTCTTAGACAATGAGTATAACATAGCTCTAGGCACTGGGTGGGGGAGGAACATCCAGATGGCCTCTTGAGAAAGCAACTGATTCATGCGTGTTAAGATCTTTTGAATGATCATAACCTTTGGTCTGGTAATTCCACACCTAGAAACATGCCCTAAGGATGTCATCATGGTAGTTCTGGCAGACAGATATTCACAAGACTTGATCGATATCAACTCACAAATTAAGACAAAGGCTCTGAATAAATGTGCTTAACACTATCATTAAAAGGAATGTCATAGTTTTTTGATTCCATAGCAAGTCAAAAAAGCAGGTACAAACTTATGTATAACAGTTATAAGCATGTTGAAGGTGAGCTTCAAAAGTGTCTGGATTCAGACTGGAGGGACACATGCCAACAAATGAATAGGTAGTGACGTCTGGAGTGATCATTTTCTACTTTACACATGACTTTTGATAAGCATACACTACTGTCAGCATCATGACAACACATCTTAAAAATCCAAAAAGCCATATATGGTGACTTATGCCCTTAATTCCAGCACTCTGGAGGCAGAGATAGATAAATCTGTGGGTTCAAGGGCAGCTAGGTCTACATAATGAGACCATCTCAAATACAAAGGGAAAAGAAAAAGGAAAGGCGTGAGGAGATGGCTTGGTGGTAAAGTGCCTGGCGCACAGCCGCAAGGGCCCGCTTGGATCCCCATACAAACCCCAGTCGTTTGGGGCTGGTGAAGTAGAAACAGGCGGACTCCTAGAGCTCACTGGCCGGGCAGTCTGGCCAGATCTGTGAGCTCCAGGTTCAGTGAGAGACCCTGTCTTTAAAAATAAGTAGAAATGAATGGGGAAAGTACCTGCTGTCTACATCCAATATTTTCCACACACATGTGCACCCACACGTATGTATGCATGCACACATGCACGTGCGCACATCACACCATGCTACACTGATTAGAACTGTTTGATCCTATGAGCCCTTGAGATTTAGACATATGAGAAAAGTGCCAGCAAGCACACACTCATTGTGTATTCTCACTGTAAAAGCCACTGAGCCCCTACCAAACATAGGTCTAACCTGATCATAAATATAATACTAGTGATTGTGATACATACTGCTGCCTAGCAGGGCTCTCATGCAATTACCCTTCTTTAGAGGCTCCCACGTATTAAGTTTACCTCAGAAGTGGTACAGTCTATGACATACTACACTTGTCAGAAATAAAGGAGAAAACATGTATTTAGAGGAAAATGATGTTTTCTGCCCTGCAGTCACCTGTCTTGACCTCTCCTCCTCAAGGCTAGCTACTCTCCTCTCAAGGCTTCACAGTGCCCACACAGATCCACTACGACCTGTCTGGAAACTCCCAAGTGAAAGAGCAAAACCCAGCTGCCTCCCCGTTCCTCCCTGTATGTGTTTTGTGTGGCCATAGCTGCCACCTGAGCTCCAGGAGGTAGATACTGAGTCCCATTCTTTAGCAGTTGTTCTTGCACTGGCCAGTGGATGTATCCACAGCTATATAATAGATGCTTCTGCAGAAGAAAAGACCTCAACCTTTTCCTGCCCCATCCACCTCACCAACATCTGCTTTAACCAGTAGGATTTTTGAAGAACTATGCCATAGGCCCCCGCCCAGTAGCCCCTCACCCGCAGTAGAAGACAGCCTTCTGCCAGGAGCGCAGCCGGTCCACCTTCTCAGCTACTGTGTTTGCAAACTCCACAAACTGGCAGCAGAAGGGCGCCTCACACAACAACAGGATAAAGGCATTCATGCTGCAAGGGCAAATGCAGAAAGGACGATAGTTGGTAACCTGGGGCAGCAACGGCCTTCATGCCAGGGGCTCAAGGCACACTACCCTTCCACAGGCCCTCCACTTCTGCAAACACCTAGATACTACAGGGCACCAGTTGCTGTCAACACCCCACCCCACCCCACCCCATCCCACCTAACTGCCCAAGCATCCTGGAGGAAGAGCCTGGTGTCTGATCTCTTTATCCTTCCAACTGTAACATGGAGCACTAAGACCCTTGCCTCGGTGTTATCTTGAGCCAGCGGCATGTTCATCCATGAAAGCTAGCCACACTACCAGTTGGTAGTACTATCACCGTAGTCACTAACACTGCCATCGAGGGCTGGCTAGGCCTCACAGTCGCTGAGACCTGGGAGCATGTGGATGAGGCAGATAGATGCTCATGCTGGCAGCCTTCACTCAGTGGCCTTCAATCCTTGTCCAGCTGCTGGGAGCAACTAAGCTGTTGGTGCTGAAGACCTTTGCTCCCACAGGTGTGTAATGATCATGAACAGACAACTGGGCCTTTGCCAGGCCCCATATCTATCTGGGAGGAAAGTGCCATTGGCAGTCTGATTAACAGACACAGCTCTTGTAACTCTTGACCACTGCCCATATCCCCAGATACCAGCTCACGGTTCCCCTAATCTGTACATAGCCTCTATACAGTGCCCATCCTGGCTGCCTTGGGCCAGCACAGGCTCTTGTACACATCACCACAAGACCCAAATCATCCTGGTCTGAAGCCTAGGGCAGGACCTCTACCTTGACCCAGATGTGTACCCACTGTGGCCACTAGCACATACTTATGTACAATGCTTCCCACGCGCCTAGAACAGCCCTCACTCTGGCCCCTTTCCCTGGGATCCAGCTGCGGAGGAAGAGGGTGCCAAGGACCTGTGGATGCTATAGCCACCAGTTTAACCTGCATCTGACCCGCTAACTCTAGCCCCACTAACTGCCTCACAGCTGACCACCCGCCTCTCTTCCTCTTAGACCCTCAACTCTGACCTCACGCAACATGGCACTGAAGCTCCCAGAGGGAAACACCCATTGTAGCAGACAAGGAGTCTATAGTGTATGGCTGGCTAGATGCTTAGCAACTGTGCCTGTGACCTTGTACCCAATAAAGGCTCAGGCGGCTGTGAGAAAACCTAAATGTGGTGGAGCAGGAAGAGGGATGAGACCTGTTATCACAGGTCTCAAACCCCAGCAGGGGAGGACATTGACAGTTACTCACATCATCCACACACCAGCTGCAATGTTCAGAGGGTGGATAGTGACACAATTGAAGAGTCCAGAGATGGCACAGGCTTCAAAACAAAAGACCCGGGCAGGGGTTAGCAAAGTATAAGGCAGGGCTCACAGAAGGCTGAGCTGACACTGAGAACTCATGGGTCTTCCTGTAGATAGATGATCAGTATTTGGGCTTCCCTCAGCAACACCATCACCTGAGACAGCTGAGAATAAAACTCCATAAGTCTACTTCTGAACCTCGAATCTAGCTACTTTCACATTTGGGGGACTGTAAGAGCAACACCCTTCTCAAACCTAAGGCTCTGATGGGCCAGCCTTTGGTTCCTAGCTATTATCAAAAACCCCTCGAGAGGTCAGGCCTGTTCTGCCTTCAATGAGAATCTCAGCAAGGGCTGCCTTGCTGAGATTTATTGTTTATTTGTTCTTTATGCTTGCTTGGTTAGGGTTTTTTGCTTTTTTTTTTTTTTTTTTTTTTTTTTTTTTTTCTCCTTGAGATAGAGCCCTGCTCTATAGCCAAACTGACCTTAAACACTATGTTGCTTCCTCAGCCTCCTGGGGGCTGGGATTACAGGCATGTGTCACTACGGCTACAGCTTGGATTTGGGTCAGGACAGGGATGTGTCTCAGGATACACTGATGGGCACCAGGTAAGAGCCAAATGACACATCTAAAACCAGCCACAGGACCCTGGGCACGTTAGTTTTCTTAGCTCATTTTCTCTCCTACACATGGGCATGGTATGTCCCAATACTAGAACAGAAAATGACAGTATGCACTCTTCTTCCCCAGACTTCACTCCAGTGTGGAGCCTGAGGCTCCTCCCTTCTGACTGCACCTTAGGGATGTAGTCTGCCTCACCCACCCGCAGCCTGAAGCTGGCTTCACCTGGAAGTCCCTCACCAGGAACTCTGGGAGCCTCTGAGGACATTCCTGGGAGCTGCCCAGCCTGGCAGGACATAAGCCCGGTTATCACCAGGGAGGGGCAGAGTGTTGGTCCTCTGAGGCTGCAATTAGCACCAACTCATTAAACTTGCAGCAGGCCTCCGGCACCTGATCCCTCCAGTGGGCCTGGAATTCCACCATTTTCCACTTTCCCGTGTTACACTATGCAAATGGAAGCTGATGCAGGAGAATGGACCAAGTGACCCACTCTGAGTGGCATAGCTTCTATGCCACAAAGCCCCCATCTCTAACAAAGAACTCAAAGCAGCACTCATCCGCATGTGGCTCTGGCAACAAAGAGTGCAGGGCCACAGAAGAGAGGGGCTATCCACCTCCTCCTGTGTGGAGCTATGTCAGGTCTCCCCTGAGAGGCCTGCACTGCTGCCATCAGCATTCATCTACTCTACCCACACTGTCCTACACAGCCAGCTTCGGGAGGACCAGGTCACAGCCCAGACAAATGGGAGTCCTCTGACAACCAGGGACATCCATCCAGTTGGAGTGCTAACCCTCATATCCTCCATTAAATGGAGATGTCACCATACAATCCATTCTTCTTCATAGCTATTGTCTACATATACCTTTAGGACCAGAATAAATCCCCCCAAGATCCTTTCCTCCAAGAAAGGATAACCCTATGCCAAAGTAACCCATTAAGCCACACCTCCTGTCAAAACCCCTACTGAGTTTCTAAAGCAAACACACTTTTTCCTTCCCCCCTATGATATGCCAGTGTTCAAATCCTTAATGCCCCCAAATCTGCAGGCTCAGAGAACAATTCAAGTTAGTGCCACAAGTCTCCCCTAAGGTTTCAACCCAGCAGGACGGTTGGGGAGGCCTTCTGGAGTTGCACCCACCTTAGGAAGCACAAGACTGGGTGGGATTTCCAAGGTCAATCTAGAAGTCACCTGGGTCACTGATTGCATGACCAAGATGGAGGGAGGGTGGTAGCCTCCAAGGTAGGGAGTAGGTGGGTCTGCCCTATCCACACAATTCCTGCTCCTGTACAAGTTAGTTAATGGGATCCTCGGACCTTCATTTCCTGAGACCAGCACTCCCCTGGGTTTATAGGAATTCACCATGAAAGGGACAGACAGGATCTAGCAAACGCATTCGTTTCAAAGGTCTTGTTTGGAAGGCCAGCAACATAGCTGCACTTAAGAGGCGGACCTGCCTTCCTCTTTATCTTTTGGAGCTCGAGCCAGGAAAGCTTGCTGGTGAGGCACCGGGCCGTTTGGACAGCAAGAAACTGAGTAGAAGCTGTCCCTCCACCCACTGCCCAGCCACCCTGAGGGGCCATGTAGCCCCTTGCACCATCTGACCCTCAAGCAAACTTCCTAGCCTGTGGAGACCCGTCCCCGCCCACACTTATGAACAAGCTTTGTCCAAGGCTGAGGATTTGGTAGTCCCACCCCAGCCCAGCTGAGCATCATTAGGCCGAGGAGGGGTAGGGGAGGGACAGACACCCTTCGTGAGTCTCGGCGCCTCTAGACAAGGGCAGGACGACTCAGCTGTGGCCATCGAGCTCCGGGAGGCAGAACGCAGGCCTGAAGCTGGGAGCCATGACAACCCCGGGGACGCCCGCTCCCGGGACTGGGTACTCACACACCGCCCCTAACACGCCCGCCAGGCGGCACAGCCAGCGGTACCACCATGTCATGCCCTCCTCCTGTGCCGGCGGAGCTGGACTGGCGGGCGCTCCGGCGGCGCCCAAGCCGCTCATGCTGAAGGCTGCGCGCAGCTCCGGGCGCGCACAAAGGGACGTGGCCACCCGCGCGCGGCCTTGTGGGAGAGGAGGTGATTAGCATCGGGGCGGACCAGCAGGCCACAGAGGAAGGGGTGGGGGTTGGAGGGGGGGGGCCTGTCTACATTAGCATAAGGGGCGTGTTTACGGTTCCTTAGTTGCCCCTCCGAGGCTCAGCCGGTGCGTGGATCCGCACTGGCTTTTTCTCTTTCCGAGATTGGAAGACGTCGTCTAGAAGTGTCGAAAGCCCTGCTCAGATGGCCAGGAACTCCACCTTGCAGTAGAATGAGCTTTCAAGTCAGGCTAAGGTAGGTTATGGGAGGAAAACAGCAGTCAGGTTTCCTGTATCTTTTATTAGCAACAGGGAAGCGGGAGGGCGAGGGGAACGGATGCTGGGGCTGCTTTTCCGATCTTCACCTACCAGTCCAGCTCTTCTGCACCTGGACAAGGTCACTAAAAGAGATTCCCTAAGGCTGGCAGGCGTTTAGAGCTCAAGAAGCTAGAGTTGTACACTCCAGGGACGGTCCTTAGGTGTGGAGTTGCCTCTCTTTCCATGGTTGGATAGAAATCTAGGACAGAGCCAGGCTGTTGTCCTGCTCCAGTTTCCTCGGTGGGATAGTCCAGTACTGACCCTGGAGCCTGGCCTGTACCTCCAGGAAGCCAGGACTAAACTCCAGTTCAGCCTCACTGCCTTGGGACTCCCAGTAGAGCACCTGCTGTCCCCAGAATGTTGTGGTCCTTAGACTGTGGATATCTCTAATCTGGGAAAAAGCAGGTAGCCAGGACAGGCATTGAGTGATCATTATTTAGGACTTATAGACTCCTCGCTTACTCAGAATCATGTTTGATTTTTACAGGAGCCCACATGTTCTACCCAAGAAACTGAAGCTCAGAGACTTTGGGCCCCTTCCCGGGACACACAGCCAGGTGCCAGAGCTGGGCTCCTGCTCAGGACTAATTTTGGGTGATCTGATGCCCTGTAAAGCACACAAAACTTCAGCCCTACTTATACTCTTCTGAAAACAGAAAATTCCAGGCATGAAAATGATGCTTCTTCCCTAGGTCAACAAGCAATCTACTTCCCAGAAAGGTCTTCCTTCTTCCTTATTGCAGAGCAATAAGCATTTGCTGGTGAGTGAGTGGAGGGTACCCTCCTTCCCATTCTTTCAAATGATTTTGAAGTTTTGGGTGAGAAATAAACTGAAAGGGTCCCCTAAACCCAGTACCTGCATCCTTTTTCCTAAAGATAGCTCTTCAGAATCATATCAAAAGTTACCCCATTTCTATCCCATCCTGGTGGCCTCACCGAGACATATTTGGCGCTGGTCCCCTCAGAGTCAATGCCCATGTCACTGGTCAGGGCACGGATGGCAATGCGGGCCTGTGGGGCCACGCTGATGAAGACCCGGCAGCTCCTTACATTCCTTCTGTCTGGGCTCCGTGGGGGACTCTCAATTTTACCCTGAGGTCCAAAGAGCTGCCTGTCACAATCTGCAGGCAAAAACACGGGGGTAGATTAGGTGTGAGCCACCTCAGGAAGACTACTGATAGCAGGGTGGTCTCTGGCAGACTGTCCCTTCCTTCCCTGCTGCTGAGCCTTCACTGTGACCACCTCTGACAGAGTAGCTTCAGGCAGGGATCTGAAGTGGGCAGTCAGGGAAGGTTCAGCTGGACACAACTTGTGTCTGATTCCTAGGACCTACATGGTGGGAAAGAACTTCTGACATCCCCTCAAACACACACACTTTTTTTTTTTTTAAGGAAAAGGATGACTGATGAGATGACTCAGTGGGTAAAATATCTTGGTTCTTGCCACACAAGCCTGGAGACCTGAGTTTAATCCCAGGAACCCATGTTAAGATTAAAGGAGAGCTGGGTAGCAGTGACATATGTCTTTAATCCCAGAACTCAGGGAGGCAGATCTCTGTGAGTTTGAGGCCAGCCTGGTCTATAGAATGAGTTCTAGGACAGCCACAGCTACACAGAGAAACCTTGTTTTGAAAAACAAAAAACAACAACAATAAAAAGATAAGAGGAAAAAATGTCCTCCATGTCCACAGCATGTCATGCTCATGCTCACACACATACATCATAATATGTAAAATAGTTTTAAAAGAACTAAAAGGCTCTAAGCTTTGGTTCCCTCCACTGTGAGAAGGGAACAGTGTCATACTTTGGGCAGGGGATTTTAAAACAGGATTCAATAAACTTGGACTACAAAGTACTTAAAATATGAAAGGTTGAGTTTTAGTTATGGCTGTCCACTGCTATCATCAGTAGTCTGTGGGAACCCCACTTCCCTGTACCTAAGCCTTCCTCAACACGGAATGTCTGCATGGGAGAAGTGAGGAGCAATGAAAACAAAGCCAGGGGGCCAGCAGGACCTTGATACACCTGCACACTCAGCCAGCAGCACAGCTCACTGCTGGTGGTGGCTGCGGGAGAGGCTGGTGACATCAAACCTTGGCAGAGACAGTGCTCCTGCTGCATGACTTTCGCATGAGGCCATGCAGAAGTGTCTGGAATCAGCAAGGGAAGACATCTTCAGTCACCTCGCACTTCTACATCAAACCTCTGAGGTGATCAAGAGGGCTCTTACCCATCAGATGCCCTCCTTCTGAGGGGTATGTAATGTAGGCAGTCTAACTTGTGGGTGCTAGCATACGTATACATGTCACAGGAAGCAGGCTGAGGAGAAGTGACTCACAGACCTGAGAGGACCTTGAAAGAACTGGGGACCAGGGTCAAAGGAATGAGGCAGTGGCCCGATAAATGTGGCAAGGACATGGACCATATCTGCTTCCACCCATCTAGCTTCACGACCACAGAGGACCTCCATTCTGACCATGTGGAAGACATTGCCTGCTCCTACTTTCCATCGTGGTCAGCTGTCTCCTGCCTTGCCCATGGCCCTGTTGAAAATGCCCTGTCCACAGGAGCACAGGCATAGCTACCCAGTGAGGTGTGGGGAGGCGCAGGCCCTTGGCTGTACCTCTGTTGAAGGTCCCAGGGCCTGGTTGGCTCCGGTACTGCAGCAGCACTCCATGTCCTGGCAGCACACGGTGTTGCCTCACCACCAACGTGTTGGTTTTGGTGCTGAAAGTCATGCCAGACATCTTCCAGCATATCTTCCTCCATGTAAACCTACCCCAAAGCAGCAACAGCTCCCCTAGAAAGGGTGGGGCAGTGAGCAACAAGCACCCCCACTCCAGGTAGGCAACAGTGGCTCAAGGCTGAGTTCAAATAACCACTCTCCCTCTTACTGACTAATGTGACTAAGTAGGGGACATGTCACGAGAGAGCTCATCCCCCCAATTTTCTATCTTACAAATGGAGACCCCCACACTTCAGGCGTGAGACAGCCTTGAAAATAAAAAGTAGGAACATAGTGGGGGCATCCTGCCAGAAATGGGACACACTGGAGTTGTAGTGCCAGCCCCAAGCCCAGCAGTTGCCCACGCACCCCTGGATGTACCTGCACCACACTTGAGGGAGCTCTCGAGGACTTCAATGGTCACCACCTCACCTAGAGGCCGCCCAATGGCCACCACACAGTCTACCTGCCCTTGACCTCGCATGTCAATGGTTCCTTTGGGCTCCAGGTATTGCCTTCCACAGACACCTACAGAGGACAAAAGGGCAGTGAGGTGACCAGAACAGGGCACGGCTGGAAGTTGGGGCAGGCAGGGGGTGAGAAAGTAGTCACCATCCATGGCTCTAGGCCACTTCCGTTTGCCTCAGGGAAAGGGAGGCAGTGTGGTGTGTGGGCTTTGCCCTGCATGGACCTGAGTCTCTGACCCGCAACTTCAGGTTATTTGAAAGGGACAGAAGTAAAAGTACAGTTTCTAAGCTGCAGAGATGGCTCAGTATGTAAAGTGTTTTGTTTTGTTTTGTTTTGTTTTTTAAGCACTGGGACCTGGGTTCAATCCCCAGAACCTACATTATAAAGCACGGGTATGGAGGTGCACACTTGAAGTCCCAACACTGGGGAGGCAGAGACAAGTAGCTCCCTGGGCTCAGCCAGTCAGCCTAACCTATTTGGGGAAGCTCTAAGTCAATGAAAAACCCAGTCTAAAACAATATAGACAGTTTCTGAGAAATGACACCCAAGGTGGCCTACACACACACACACACACACACACACACACACACACACACACACACACA